TACTTTCTCTAATGTTATTTTAATAGAAAAACCTCATCTATCAGGCATCCAGAGTACTGTTTTTGGTTTAAAAGTTTGTTTTTTGTTTTTTTTCCTATCTTCCAGATGGAAAGTTCAGATAACAAATAAAGGATACTACAACTTAAGGAAGCCTAAGGTATGTTTTTAGTGCTTCTGTTATGAATAGTTTTAGCAAACAGACACGGAATGTCCGCAGTGCATAAGTTGCAGCACTATCTAGTTGGATTCAGAGGCCTGGTGCTTATCTGAAGGGAGCTGGTAATGGAACAGAAGAGACCATGTGCCCACCTCACTAGCTTCTGTAAAAGGTGCTGTGGGGAAGATCAAGGTGTAGGCATACATACCTCCTTCTGCCTTGGCAGATAAGGCTAAGGAAATTTTAGAGGAAGTGATGTGGGAGCTGGCCCTTAAAAGATTAATACAGTTTAGGTCAACAGAGAAAGGAACAAAGGACTTTCCATAGAAGGAATAGTTAAATAATGTGAGGCGTGGTTAGCAAACAGCAATTAGTACAGAGATAATGGATCTGTGTTTTTGTTTTTATTTGCAGTGCTGGTAATCATACCCAGGACCTTGCTCATGCTAGGCAAGCACTCTCCCACTGAGCAAAAGCCCCAACCCAAATCTGTATTTCAAAAAGATATTTTGGAGATAGTGTGAAAATAAGTTAGAAGCCGCATGAGAGCATTAACAAGGAGAATCTTAGAGTGAGGACAATTCAAAGACATTTTAAAGTTGGAATTGATCGAGCCTTGGCAATTTATTGGTATAAGAAGAAAGAGAAAAAACGCATATTACTACTAGAGTTCTGATTTTTATTATTGTATATATGGAAACGGCATTAACCAAGATAAGAAAAACAGGAAGTTTCAGGCTTAGGTAGGAAGAAAATAGTTACATTTGGGGTATATCAACTCAAATAACTGTGAGTTGGAAGTCTGAGCTTGTTAACACAGGAATAAGAACAGAGCTAGACATATAGATTGGAGCGTCCAGGCTAGGTCGAGAAATAAGATAAACTATCTATAGCCTGGATTGAGACTGATAGAAACTAAGAGTTGCAAAGAAGGTTTGAAGCAAATGCATTGGGACTGTCAAAGTGAAAGAAACCCTGAGTGCACAGAGGAGAGCCTTTCTAGATGTTGGGGTATGAGTGTGGCATGGTAAATAGAAATGGAAAGTCAGATTCATATTCATAGTTACCAGCCTAGAACTGAAGTTTGTTTCTAGTAACTTCACCAGAGAGTATAAAGTAGCTCTATGTGAAAAATTTAAAAAGTACTCAATTTTCAAAAAGGAACAAAAGACTAAGATTTACATATTGAAGTATGACACCTGCTTGCAGAGAGACAGTCTATTGCTTATCCTTTCTCACAGGAATTCACAATGAACAACTATTTTTCTATTGGACCTGATGCTCTCATGGCTCTCAATTTTCATGCTCATCGTGAGAAGGCACCATCTCTGTTTTCTAGCAGAATTCTTAATAAGGTGTGTTGGATAAAATAACATTTCCTGCTTATCACTGAAGGTACAGTAAAAATCAATAGTTCAATTATATTTAGCACTCTTAGATCTCTTAGATTCTAATTGAACTAACTTATAGAAACATTTACCTGCTCTGTTGTGTAGGACTGTCAAGTTAGATTCTTTTTTTTTT